GAGCCGCGGCCCGTTCCCCATTGGCTCCCTGCGTCCCCGGCCTCCCCCCGCTTCCCCTGCTCGGGGGGCCGCCGGGGTCCGGGGAGCCCCTGCGGACCCCGTGGGCTGGGGGGGAGCATCCAGCAGCTGGGACCTGTGGCCCCTCGGCACTTTCTGCCTTGCATAGCCCCCCCGGCTCGCGCTCAGCAGCAAGAACGGGCGGGATGGGACAGAGCCGGGTCACTGCCGTCGTGCCCGCCTGGCACCCGGCTGCCTCCCGGCTGCCCCAGCGGGGAGACCCAGCCCTTGCCTGGCCGGGTCTGCTCGCTGAGCTCCTTCCCTCTGCCTGGATCCAGGAAGGAGAGGCTGTCTTGGCCCAGAAGGACCCTGGCCCTTCTGCTGTATCTAGGTGGCCAGGGCCTGGGGGGTGGTGGGGACCAGAGCCCCGCGGAGCTGCCCCGAGTCCTGCGTGGTGGGTGCTGGAGGGGACGCAGAGGGGATACCCCACGAGGCAGGGAGATGGTGCACAAGGCTGGGGAGTCGTGAGGCAGGGGTAATGTGCCTTGTGCTACGTGCCTGTGTGTTCCCCATGTGTGGTGGTATGCTGTGCGTGCGTGCGTGCCCACATGTGCTCCATACGTGTTTATGTAAAGCTGTGCACGTGCATGTGAGCACATGTGCAGTATGCATGCACATGCAGCTTTGCACAGGTTCCGTTGGATGCGCGTGTTGTCTGGTGTGCGTGTGCATGAGCACTGCGTGTTAACACGGGTGCTGTGTGCGTGCACAAGGAGTTTGTGTGGCGGTCACTGCAGGTGTGTCTGCGCGTGCTCTGTGAGCGTGTGCGTGTGTGTGTGTTGTTCCCCATGTGTGGTGGTATGCTGTGCGTGCGTGCGTGCCCACATGTGCTCCATACGTGTTTATGTAAAGCTGTGCACGTGCATGTGAGCACATGTGCAGTATGCATGCACATGCAGCTTTGCACAGGTTCCGTTGGATGCGCGTGTTGTCTGGTGTGCGTGTGCATGAGCACTGCGTGTTAACACGGGTGCTGTGTGCGTGCACAAGGAGTTTGTGTGGCGGTCACTGCAGGTGTGTCTGCGCGTGCTCTGTGAGCGTGTGCGTGTGTGCGGGCACAGCAGAGGCTGGCACAGCTGTGCATAGCAAGGTGAACGGGGCCAACAGCCAGCAAGGTTGAGGGGACATCACAAAGGCTATGGGTGAATTAACCCTTTTCCTGGAAGTGGTAGATGCCTCACAGATGGTGCCCCATCTGCTTGGAACCCAGGGCACCAAGTCCCCGGTCCCGGTGGGGGCAGGGAGCTGTAGGCTGGTGGGAGCCAGCTGAGCCCAGGGCAGAGCCCATGGTCCCACTGCTGCTGCGGCAGCTGGGTGCGCCTGTCTGGACAGGTACAGTCCCACTCCCCTCTGTGCTGGGGTGGCTGCATATGGTTACTGCACTGCGTGGCAGCAATCTGCCTGCTGTCATCTGAGCAAGGAGCTGGTGCGCTGGGACTGTGGATCCGGGGCAGCCTGGGGGAACTCAGGTGATGGTTCTCGGGAGGGGGAGACAGGGGGCTTTGGCTTTGCTGAACTCCAAGACCCTCCATCATCTCCCAGCTGCACATATGCCTCTCCAGATGTGTGCAAATGTATGTTCATGCATCCGTGTGTGTCTGCACACATGTGAATAGCTGTGTGCACAGAGGGCTGGGGGACTTGCTGTGTTTGACTCCACAACCAGGCAAAGTTGTGTGAGGGACTTGCAAGTGCTGTCTTCGTTAGATGTGGTGGCTAGGGTAGGGAGCAGATAGGCTTCCCCTGGAGCTAATTGCCCCATCTTTACTGCAAGGCCCAGGTCCAGCAGGCAGGTAAGAGGCCTCTCCTCTACACCCCCCACCCCCTCGTTTCCTACTCATCTGTCTTTCCCTTGCCTACTCCGTGCACCACCACCTTCCCGGGTACCTCCCTGTCCCTTCGCCTGCCCTGCTGTCATCCCCCCCCTCCATTCTTCCAGGCTGACACTCTCACAAAGCCCCTAGACAAGCTTTCAAAGGGGCAACTCATGCGGAAGAATTGCTGCCCCCCTCGCCCCCCTGTGCTCCAAATGCAACTCAGCACTTTCCCAGCGGGGTGAGGGGCTCCCACTCCCCCAGACCCCTTGTTTGGGGCAATTCCCTTGGTCTCTCAAAGGGGGAGGCTGAGGGGGCAGGAGGCCTTGTTCCCAGTGCCATCCACATGTGCCTCTCCCTCACCCTGTGGTTGTTTCTTCTTCCAGAGCCTCTGTTCTGCATGTAGGCCCTCAGGGGCCTTGGGGCAGGACAGTGACCATGGGTAGGGATGGATCTGTGGGCCAGGACTGGGTGCAGAGGCCGAAGGCAGCAGCCATAGTTGGAGATCTGACCATGGGCAGGGCCAGGCAGAGCAGCAGGTGGAAATGAGACCCAGGCACAGGGCAGGAACCTGCAGGTAGGGATGTGGCAGTGGGCTGGGCTGAGCCCCGTGGGCAGGGGTGTGATGTGTGGGTGGGCCAGGGCAGGGTTTTGACCTGCAGGCAGGGTGGGGACCCATGGGCAAGGCAAGGCTGCGTGGAACCTGCAGATGCGGCAAGGACCCATGAGGAGGGCAGAGCAGGGTGCCAGCTCGGGTCCTTTGACCAAGAATGGTTCTAACTGCCCGTGCCTTAGTTTCCCCTTTCAGCAGTTAGGGCTCGCAGTTTTTTACACCTGTCTGTGTGCTTGAGTGTGGCAGTTTGTGTGAGTGTCTGGGTGCACACGTGTGTGTTTCATTCCCTGTGCAACGGACACAGCAGTCAGTGCCCCCGGGACTTCCCGTCGCCGTGGGCTCGGGGCAGAGTTCTGCGTTGCGGGCTGCCGTGAAGCGGCAGCACAGGAGGTTTTGCACCCCGGGCGGGTGGGTGC